AGTGGAGTGCCTCAAGGGTCAGTACTGGGACCAGTATTATTTAATATATTCATCAATGATTTAGATGAGGGAATTGAGTGTACTATCAGCAAGTTTGCTGATGACACTAAGCTGGGAGGAGTGGCTGATATGCCAGAAGGTTGTGCTGCCATCCAGAGGGACCTGGACAGGCTGGAGAGTTGGGCGGGGAATAACTTGATGAAATATAATGAGGGAAAGTGTAGAGTCCCGCATCTGGGCAGGAACAACCCCAGGTTCTAGTATAGGTCGGGGAACGACCTGTTAGAGAGCAGTGTAGGGGAGAGGGACCTGGGAGTCCTGGTGGACAACAGGGTGACCATGAGCCAACACTGTGCCTTTGTGGACAAGAAGGCCAATGGCATCCTGGGGTGTATTAGAAGGGGGGTGGTTAGTAGGTCGAGAGATGTCCTCCTTCCCCTCTACTCTGCCCTGGAGAGACCGCATCTGGTATATTGTGTCCAGTTCTGGGCCCCTCGGTTCAAGAAGGACAGGGACCTGCTGGAGAGAGTCCAGCACAGGGCAACTAAGATGACTAAGGGAGTGGAGCATCTCCCTTATGAGGAAAGACTGAGGGAGCTGGGTCTCTATAGTTTGGAGAAGAGGAGACTGAGGGGTGACCTTATTAGTGTATATAAATATATAAAGGGGGAGTGTCACGAGGATGGAGCCAGGCTCTTCTCAGTGGCAAACAATGAAAGGACAAGGAGTAATGATTACAAACTGGAACACAAGAGGTTCAATTTAAATTTGAGAAGAAACTTCTGCTCAGTGAGGGTGACAGAACACTGGAACAGGATACCAGGGAGGTTGTAGAGTCTCCTTCTCTGGAGACATTCAAAACCCGCCTGGTCACATTCCTGTGTAACCTTATCTAGGTGTTCCTGATCTGGCAGGGGGATTGGACTAGATGATCTTTTGAGGTCCCTTCCAATCTCTAGCATACTGTGATACTGTGATACCGTGATACTGTGAAACAGATCAGTTCAGTGAAGTCAGGGGAACTCTGGTGCAGTTGAGGAAAGGTAGAAGTCATTTCGGGTGTATTCTGTTTCAGGCCTATACACAACCATTACAGCTAGTGTGTTAAAATCATCCAAGAAAGGTTACATTCAGATTTCTTCAAACTCATTTCTGAGTATTCAGTTCCTTTCCCAAAACAAACCCAACAGTTTACATGGGTCCTAAATGTACACCCAGAAATGCTATAACCTGCCAATATTGATATTTTCCCAGATACAGTGATCCTTAAGAAGCCATAAGGGTCCTGACAAATGTGTAAAATACCTGGTTATCCTAATGGGAATGGATCCTGCCTTTTCAAAACCATCCTTTTTCATATAATGTAAACGTATAACTAATCATCCCATTTCACACCTTTTCTCTCAGCATACTGGGAATGTGTGTTCACAGTAGACACCTCTACATCTTTTTCAGTTGCTGCTCATGAAAATTAATGCATTTTATATGTGAAGATGCACACATATACATGTCTTGAATGGCAACATCAAAGTAGATCTTCCAGGTACCATTTACCTGAAGTAAGCCAGGGCATTAACAACATTATATGAAGTCTCCAGGAATAGGCTTAACTGACTGCGGCCCTTTGTGAATATCTGGATGCTTCCTTGTTTCCGTGTCTGTACCGAGTGCAAGTGTCTCACTGAGACAGTGCATTGCCTTCAGCTGAAGGGAACAGAACACGGTGGAAGTCCAAACCTACGCAGCAGTGCCAACCCTGCACCATGTGTGCAGGAAGCAAGAAACATTCAGAATATATTCAAATTCCCTACTATTCGTTTCCTTTTTCCATGGTGAAGGCAGCTAGATATCTGCCACCACTACACAGACAGGCAAAAATATCCACTTCAAAGTTAAGTTTTCTCAGATAAGACAAAGCTCAAATTACTTATTTGAGACAATAAATATCCTAGTCTGAGTTTTAAGACATATGTGCAACAGCATATATGACTCTGAGTGATAAAAAACCTGGAGTCTACCTTTTAAACATGAATGTGGACTATTTTAACACATCCAGATGACCTAAAATTGGCTGAGTAGAGCTTTTTGTCTCTCAAGAGCACTTTTCTTCTTTTCCCCTTGTATTATATGGAATAGGAATAAATGCTTCTTCTAAAAAACATCAATGTAAAAAAAGCAGACAGAAAACAAAATCAGAAACTTCAGAGGGCAGGTCTTCTGGCAGTGCTTTGCTTATGGTTAGAATCCATGAGGAAAGTTGATTTAACAGGGTACAAAACATGCTGTAAAGTATCTGTTAGATCTTGAGCATTTTTGACTCTTTTAGAGTTCTAAAAAACAGGCCTATGAGGTCCAGCCACATGGAAGAGCTGTGCTGAACCGCTATAGACTGCACACTGTGAGTCGCTAGATATCATTTGTGCTTTGGGAGAGAAGGTATCAGGGGAGGAATAAGTAGGGGCTGGGTGGGGATGCTGCCAGCAACTGGATGCTGGCAGTCTATGGCTACTGAGAGTTCCTGAGTGGTAGGCAGTATATGTGCTACACAGCTTTTTTCTTCCCTATGCTAAATGCAAATCCTTCCCCATGACTGGAATTGCAGGTGGCACCAGGAGGAGAAGGATAGAACAGACAGGCCTTCCAGTGCAGCCTGTTTTCCAGAGTGTGATGTCTGGCCAGGAGAGTGAGCTGGGTTAATCCCCAAGCTACCCCATGATCCTGGAATATGTGTCCAGCTGAAAATCCAGAGTATAGCAGGAATTTCTCCTTTTCCACTGGGCTAAGCATGGAGACAATTGACCGTCTATGCCCAGGGAGACACAGTCCACAGGACTGGGGTCAGGCCAACAAAAGGACCCAGAACGAAAAGTTCTTTCAAAAATGTTACTTTTTTGGAATCTATTTTTTATTATAATTAGCTCCAGTAACTTAATGTGTAGATGTACAGTATCAGAAACATCTCTCTCAGTAGATTGAATGCAAAAGATCTGGATGTTTATATGAATTTCAAAGTAAAAAAAATATGGACTGTATGATATTACTGTAAGTTGCTTAATTAGTCTTTCTAATGTCAGTGTGTTCAGACTAGCTCACACTGTTGAATAAATCCTAAATGCTTTATTTCAGTACATTTCATTTGATTTCAATAGAAGACTGGCAGAATATTAAATTTTGTTAAAAGAGTAAGTGCCTCAGGATTTAGCTTTCCCGTGTGGATTTTATTTCTAAAGGAGAATGTATCGTTTTATGAACTTTTATGTTTCCATGTTAATATGATTAAGAAGACACACATTGAGCCAGAAGAATCTGCCTGTGCAAATTTCCCTCTGAAAACAGTTTTGCTGACACATTGGGGAAAACGATCAAATCTTATTTATTTGGCTTTTCATATATATAAAGCAATGAAGGTTTTGTTTGCTTTTTGTGTCCTCAGGCTATGAAGAATGGAAAAGGACCAAAGCAACCTGTCATGTGGGAAATATTTTCAAGCACCAGGAAACGCAGAGACTGAATGTCATCCTGTGGATCTTGCTTACTTGACATTCCTTCAATTCCTTTGTTCAGGAGTATAATTTCTTAACAGTGTTATTTCATCTAATCATGAGGTCCTCTTGTGCAACTGCTGTGAAAAAAAATTGTAGTGCACAAAGAAGAGCTGATGAAAAAAATAGTCACTTTCCTTCTTCAGGCATTGCCAGTTTGGTTACTTTGGATGTACCTTCAATTGCCTGTAGAGAACACAAAGTACCTACATGTTTATTTCTGTTATGTATTTGTTCCTGCATTCAGCTCTAATTATGGTGTCTGCTGTTTGCAGATCAGAATCTGGCTTTTCTGTTTTTACAGAGGTTGACCACTTCTTTCTTTACTGCAGCTGATTTTTTTGCGGCCTCCTGGTGATGTACCCATCACTGCTAGATGCTGTTAGATAGCTTCAAGTTTTGAAAATGTAATTTGAGAACAAGGCATCAAAATACATTAGTTGTCTTTGCTTTATTAGCAACTTTTTATTGCAGCGTATCAGCACTTATTAATGCTTACTGTAAACTGTCTGTAGTGAGGCTATACCGCTGGTTCAAGATGGGTTCATGTTGATTGGTAATGCCACTGAAGCTTATTAGAGTGTTCTCCTCTCTACTCCAGTTCACCATGTGAGATGTAATGATATTCTCCTTCATATTTGCATTAGATTGCAACAGGGGAGAAAACATTTTTTTTGTGTCCTCATATTCTGGTCTGTAATGATTCAGATCAAATAAATTTGACACAAATTGCAGTCTAAATCAGCTTTTTTATTTTGCCTTTTTGAGTTGTCACTATACTATTCCATCTGTTGACATCCTGTCACCTCCTGACATAATCTAAAATAACACAATATAATAGTGGATTTTGATTTAATAAAGTAATGCTCTAAAATAAAATGCCTCTGAGGACTTGGAAGCTGAAAGATGCTGATCAAAGTCTTGAACAAAGCAGGCCATCTTTGCAAAAAGATGTGCACAAGCAATATAGAAAGGTGCCTTATGCACCAGCCACTGAAGCATCCTAGAGAAGGTCTCAAATCCCCCCCGTATGACAGTAAGTGTTGACTGACTCATGCAAAACATTTGCTCTGGTTTTGAGTAAGATCCTGATGGAGAGCATAAAATATATTAACCATTGATTTATAATATCTAAGGAGTCAATGAGCAATGTGCACAGTACTCCTGTAATTAAAGAATGCTTTTAGTTCACTTGAAAGTTCATCCTCTATAGGAAGAATGACAAGGAAAGGAATTTAAATGATTTAATTTTAGAAATTTATAGCACCAAATATATTTCTTTCCTATTTGCATTGCTTACTGATATTTTTGAAGCATAATAATATAAAACAATGTATCTCTATCCATTAAAAAAATCATAATAGTAAGGAAGAGACAGAAGGTACATAAGATCAAGACATATAATCCAATGTCAAGTTTGTATAGCAACTTCCTTTTGTTCACTGTAAATGTTATTTTTTTCAGCTATTCACCTTGATCTGTATTAGTTACACCTCTGTTGGAATGTATGGTTGACTAGACAATTTTTAGCTTGAAACCTGCACAGTTTAGTGTACATTTCAGGTAATTTTTATCTTGTCTAATCTAAAAATGCCTAGTCATTGTTAATTTAGATGCAATACGTTATTGCAACTCTTGTACGTTTTTTCACAGATCTCAACTTTTTACCTAGATTTATTTCAGGACAATGTAGAAAGATAATGGCTTTTGCTTTTGAATTGAATACATCTTACTGGAGGCTGGGGTTAGATTCAGATGTGGTCTTGAGCCTGTACAATTTAAAAATATAAGATCATAGGCAAAAGTAAAAATATGATACCTGAGTACCTGGAAAAACCTGTTTTCCAGAAGTTAAGTAGCTTTCCATTTAACTTGTGTGTGTTAAGCTGGAAGTGGGAGACAAAAGAAAAAAGGAAAGGCAAACATATCCTGTTCACAATGACATGACTGTTACCCCAGTGTCCAGACTACTCCTACAGTAAATAAGATGAATTCATTCAATTCCAGTCCTTGGGAGAAGCACTGGATTTGAATGCTTTGTCTGTTGTATTTATATTCCAAGACCTGATTCATCCTGTTTCTCCAGTTTCACACTGGCTCAACCTACATGGAACTGTCAAAAGTTGCAACACTGCATGAATACCACACTAAAGTGTTAGGCTTTGTAAATATGTGGTTAAAATTATTGGGAAAATGACATATAAATAAAAAATCGTGGCATGGAATAATTTGCACCACACCGAAGTAAAGTTTGTTGCATTCTGGAACTGATGCATCCAAGGAAATAGTTGTCCACCTCTAATTATTTGGCTTCAGAAAACAGGAGATAGAGGTTATGTATCAAATAATTCTCCAGCACTGCTTTTTTAAGTAAGTCAGAAATAAATAAACAAAAAAACTCCTGAATTATTTACTTTCTTAATAGAGAAAATGGTCACAAAAATCTAAATGATGCTGATTTCAAAAAAGCTATTAAAAAATATAATGTTAAGCAAATTTTTCAGATGTAGACTTCCTTCATCCTGTTTTTTCAACCTGTTTCTTTTTTCCACAGGTGCTCTTGGCTGGATGTATTTTAAAATAATTTGAGTGATACAAGAGGCAAGCTTGTTCCTTTTACATTTAAATATATGCTTCACAAGGTACAACTTCATTCTTTCATCTCTTTTATGATTCAGTCATATTTTATTGAAATTTTGTCAGTGTTTCTTTGTCACAGTTCCTTCCAAGCTTAAGCAGCTAAGATAAGAAGTTGGAAGGAAAGTGACTGGACAGGATTTTAACAAGGGACAGATATCAGATGGTTTGTTTCATATTGTGAAGCAAACTACCTGAATCTACTGTCTCTTTGAACATTTTGTCCAAGCATTAATGGAGCCTTCAGTCTGATTCCACAGTGGTACCCAGACTACAGAGCAGAAAGTGTGTCAACCTGTGATGAATAACTGTAAATAGCAATAATATTTCTGAAATAATGAGTAATTAAAGTATGTATCTGACATTCTCTTGGTATTGCTGGAAATCAAAGAAGGACTAGGGTTTCTGTGCTTACCTCTGAAAACATTGTCGTAGACATAGTTCTGGTCTAGGCAAATATAAAGACTTGTGCTCACAGCAGTTCTTGCAGTGGCAGTGAATTTTTTATCCTTTACTTAACAACAGGCAAGTCAGTCTTCTTTAGGAGCAGAGCTATAGAAAAGAAAAATCCCAACATAATTAGCAGTGTGGGGAATCTTTTTGCAACCGAGCTAATTCACATCACCATAAAATTTGCTGGGGATAGCTTCACTCTTTAACATACTTTCCCTCTTCTCCCCCAAATGGTGTATGTACTACTGCTCATTTACTGGTCTCAATTACTGATGTTTTGTTGATGAGAAGTGAATTAAAGTGGGAAGCAAAGAGGGGAGAAACAAAGTAATTAAGCAAAATTTTAAAATGTTAGGAATTCTCTGGATGAAATCGATGCTCACAGTGTGTTAAATATGTTTAATGGTCTGTGATACTTTCAGACAGTGAAGAAGTGAATGAATATATAATTTTGGGAAGGATTCACGTGCTACGAAAGGAAACCTTGTATGGATGAGAACTGACTTCATATGACTTCATGTGAATTATATGCCCTGAATAAAGGCATAGTCTTACTGGAAAAATACTGTTAAAATAAGTATTGTTGATAAAACTTTTACCTAGACAGAAATCAACCAAGCTTCTAAGTGCCATTTAAAGTTCGGCTCATAAGACATCTATGTACTTCTGAAACTTTACCTTACATTATAAACCTTGCTTTGTAGGACATATTTAACTTTACATGGATAACACACCTTCTGTTATTTCCTAACTTTCAAGTGCTTTGTTTCACAATTTAAACAACATTCTTTTCACGTAATTGGGTTCAGGTTTTGTTTGTCTTTGGTAGGGTAAGAAGTAGTGTTTCTCTCTGTTTTGCGCACCATGTATGTAGAAATAGCATTTATACAGTTAACTGCAGAACCAGGCAATGAATTTTCACACATCTGTGATCAGACCACCTGCTTCCTGTTCACCAATATAACCCTTTTGAAAGTTACTCTAACATTTTACCCTCAGAGTACTTTTAAATAGATGGCTATTTCAAAGTCCCTTTCTAGAGCATATCCCTTTTTAATCTGTTCTGCTTAAATTCGTATCAAGTTATCTATCTAAGAGAGAGTAAGGGCATAAGAAGCCCAGTTCTAGATCAGTAACAGATTTTCTGAGAACAATAGTATAAAAAACTTGATATAGTTCACTAACTAACACAGCCTAACATGAAATTTCACCACCTAAAGAAAGGGAAAAAATCCTTGTTTCTTAAAAGGATGCAGACCACCTAAATTTCTTAGAGATGATAATAATAAATATATGGAGTGATCTCAATAATTTGGAAGAAAATATTTATTCATTGGAAATCCTGAGCCCCTTTTGCATCACGAACATTATCATTTGGTAAATAAGTGTTTACGTATACAAAATCACTAAGAAAGAGCTATTGTGAGGGTAACTTCATGTGTAAACAAAAACTATAGTGAGTAGAAAAGTAATACAGATTTATAAAATAAACCAATATAACTTCACAGAGAATTCATCAAATATTATTGTTTTTTTTTGTAAGCACGATAATTTTAAATACTGCATATGAAGTAGATGATGATAAAGCTGCATATATCCTATTTTCATTACTGCTTGTCTCTTGCTGTCTTGTAACTTATGAGCTAAAGACTATTGTATTGTTACTGTCTTTTACCATGGATACTCTTAAGATTTACAGCATTATCCCCAGTAAATAAAATTATTTTTCAGAGAAAAAAAAACAACCCATCTCTGCTGAATTTCTAACCACATCTTATCTATTCTAAGAAACAATGAGTTTTCTTCAGGATTAATTTATTAAGAGTCATTTAAAGAGATAGACCTACAGTTCTTGGTTCTATCCGCTGTTGATTAATATGTATATTTATATATGTATACATATATGTTATTTCCTTATATCTTTGAAATAAGAATTATTAATACAGTGATGGAATATTTAAGAGGACAAAAATGAAAAAATCTTCTCTAGAGAAATGAGAAAAGGGCATTCTGTTAGGTTCCTAAGCAATATATATAATGTTGGAAGGTATGCTTTTTGGTATACATTGTATACCTATATTGCCATACATCAGATCTGTCTTTTCCTTAGAACTTTTATTACTTAATTATTATAAAAGCTTTATATTATAAAAGAAATAATTTCATGTATATTCCATAATCATTAAGGTAGAGTGAGGAAGTTTTTGAATGCAATATAATTTACGTATGCATAATGTATCTTCTTTTGTAGACATAATTTTATTAACATTTATTTTCTTTTTATTAACCTGCTGCAGCTCTTTCTTATGTATCGAATTGCAGCTTTCCCCTCACTGGAGAATCTACCGCTCCTGGAGAAGACTTACTTTTTTTTCAGCATTGCTTTCACATTGTAACCAAAGATCAGCCAAGACAGTTAAAGTTGTTTTCAGCGTGAAATCTTTCATACATTATGCTATCTCATCAGTAGCACAATCTTGGAAGATAATCCTTGGTGGTCTCATTCAGTGGCAATTCCAACAGAGCCAGCAAATTAATGTGGGGTAGAACTTTTCACAGATCCCTCATCCATTACAGAACAATTTTTCAAAATATAGAGCACTTTGTAAGTCAAACAAAGTAGAATTATGGTTTAGTGAACTGCAGTCCTGAGTGCGTTATGGTTTATTTTTCTGGTAAAAAAATAAACTATTACTTTGACTAATAACTCTCGTGGAATGCAGGAAAAGATTACCATTAGGTACTTCTTGCCAAGAGAAATTGATATCATGATACTCTTAAAGCACACAAAAAAGACCTGAATTTACTGGTATTTGAATAGATTTTTAGGCCTGGCATGTGTCACTACTGTAAATCTTTCAAACATTCAGAGTGTAGAAGAATCAGTTTCATCTTTCTTCTGGAAAAAGTTGCTGCTAATCCTTCTTACACTCTGGGCTTGATCCAGGAGGAATCTGTAATTCTCATTGACCAAATTTAAGCAAGGACCATAGGAACTCAGCACCTTTCTGGTTGAATGTCTTTATGCAGGAAATCTGTAGTTAAATGTGTGTGTGCACTTTTTCTACAAATGGGGAGAGAAGGAAATCAATTTCTTATTTAGTGCCCAAATCCTGTCTTGTCCAGTCCCAAAGAAAGAAATGACTTCTTGGTAAAATTCATTGAAATTTATCTCATAGGATATCTCTGAGGAAGACTTTTTAGTATATTCTTGTGCCATTGAGATCAGTGAAGTGCTTCTTCTTGCTGACAGGTCAAGCCCTATCAGAACACATTTTTTGCGAAGGTGGCTTTCATCTTGAAAAAATATAAAGGTGAAATGTTGTTATGGATAGCCTGATTTAGAATTATGTCTCCAATGAAGTTTTATCCTTGCATAGCTCCACTTACTATTGCAAATTGTTAGGGACATTTATTTAACTCCTTAAAATTGATTCAGGAGTCAACAGCTATTTTGAATGTTTTGGTCATTGTTTAAGTAACTGCAGGCTTGAATGATTGCAGGACACTGCTTATGAATGTTGACAGCAAAAGACACAGGTGCTCCAGTAATGCCTATATTCAGGGACAGCAGAAGAGAATATGAAAATTACAGAGGTTTCATGTATAAAATATCCATAATGTAAATATCAAACTGATTAAAAAACCAAACTAGTTACGTGTTAGCAAGTTACTACCACTTTTCCATAATTTGTGTCTGTGTGCATATGTAGAAATACCATTAATCCTGTGAGAATGGGTTGTTCTCATGTATGAACAGAAGAAGTGAGCACTACAGAGAAACACTACATCCTCTCTTTTATGTATACAATATTTGTGCATCAATAATCACAAAATAAGCACCTATTGATGTAAATAGAGAGAAAATTCATCAAGCTTCAACGACACTTACTGTCTTTGAGTTGCATTATTAGCAGATATGACCCTGATTGAGCAAAGCCTTTTAAGCACGTTTAACTTCCACCCTGTAGGTTGGTCCTCTGAAGTATTACATGCATAGCCAAAGCTAAGCACATACTTAACTCAAGATCTTTGCTAGATTAAGGCCCATATTACTAAAAGAAGAGTGTGAAATATCATTAAAATTACAGAATGCAAATAAATATGAAGAATCCTAATGACACAAGCAGTTTCATAACGGACTGTAGAGCTCACATGGTCTGCTATAAAGTTACACAAACCAATCTTTCCTTTTCAGAGCAACTATTTAAGCATGAAGTTTCAAATGTTACTAATAAAACATCAAAGTAAAGTGGTGTCAGTTGTGTACAGAAAGGTTTGAAGCAGCTACAGTAAATATTTGTTGTCTTAAATCTCAAGTTTTGTACACCAGCTTTGTTACTATGCTGTATTGCTTGCCAAGGTTAAAATATGGCTGAATATTTGCACAGGAAAAATCTTGTCTTCCTTTGTTATGGCTATATACTGATTACTGTTGTTTGAAGAAACAGCAGTAGAGTGCTTTAAATTGTAACCTTCATAAATACTTTTACTTAAATAGGAACCTCAAAATCCTAAATCAAACAAAAGCATGATTATATGTACAGCAATAATACCCTTATCACAATGGGATAACAAACACAATGGTTAGTAACATTTGAATAGTGTAACGAGACTGTTTATAATAAGATGATTAGAGCCAAAATGCAATGGCCTTTTCACAGACTGCTCCTTGAGCATACTAAACTGTTTGCAGCTTAGGGACTTCAGAACAGTTTCTAGATCATTCTTTCAGCAAAGCTATGTTTGAAGGTAAGCATTTTCTAAGCTATAATAAAGCAAAGTTTTCAAAATAGCAATGGTATTAGGGTACAACATGGCTTGAGGACAAAAAAATGTGTTAGAAACAAGGACAGTAAAAAGTCTTTTCATTCAACAAGACTTCTACTTCAACATCAGACTCCTCTGTACTTCAGTTCTTAGCTCCTGCTCTTTGTAAAAAAGTCCTTGTTTCACAGTTTGCAGTTTAGAAGTTCATGGTTTTGTGTCTTTTCTATACAAACTGGCTTTTTTTTTTTTTTGGTATATTTTCTTATAACAGTTTGCTAAATCTTATTGCTGATTTACAAGATGCTAGTAATGAGTTTCTAAAAATAGGAACTGTTTTATGGATGTAACTTGTTAAGTGGTCTGCATGGTAAAAGAGATTACTGAAATGGTAAATAAAAACATTCTGTGAGGAAACTATCTCTCCCAAATTTATCTCAGTTTTTGTGTTGTGAGAGCCTCCGATAGTGCCACTAGCATTTAGTTAAGGTGTTAAGTGATATGATAAAGTTTAAACTCATTCATTGTTATAAGTGTATTTACTTTACCTTATATTAATGTGGTAGAAGAATCAGAAGCAGGAGTGATCAAACAGATTTACTAGAGTTCTCTTGTTTAGCTGTCTAGTTTTGTAAGAGTATTTTAAATTCATAGCATATCTCAGCATGTCACAAACCTTGTTCTGTATTTTAAGCCTATCTATCTAAGAACTAAGAAATGCTTCTCTAACAATGGATAGTTCACAACACAACAATGATTAGGATTCAGTCCCATAGAGCTTGTTCATGTACAGAAATGGAAGAAATGATTAGAAATGACTAAAAAAATTAGTTTTTAATTTATGATTCTTATATCTTTCTAAGCCCTTGTAAAGAAAACACAGATAAACAAAAGTCATAGCCGAATTAGCAAAAACCAAACTACAAACTAAGCCTTTTCTGCTTACATTTTCAAATAATTTTTGCTGGGTTATCTTTGGCTAAGTATGCAACCTCTGTTCCAGCGAAATTTTTACATTAAATCCTACAATGATAGTGTCCTGTAACAACTATTTTTCTCTTTCCTAGTAGGTGGTGCAGTGCTGTGTTTTGGCTCTGAAAACAATGCTGATAACACACCTATGTTTTAGTTGTTGCTAAATAATGCATACCCTGATAAAGGACTTTTCAGTTTCTCCTGCTTTGCCAGTGAGTAGGGGCATGGGAAGCCAGGAGGAAGCAGAGACAAGACACCTGACCCAAATGAGCCAAAGGGGTATTCCATACCACAGAATGTCAGGATACCATACCAGACCATAACACTGCCGAGTATATAAACTGAGAGGGAGTTACCCAGAAGAGACCAATTGCTGATTAGGTCAGGCTGGGTATTGGTCATTGGGTAGTGCGTAGTTGTATTTTGCATCACTAATGTTTATTGGTTGTTTTGGTTTTTTTCTTTCCTTTTTTTAATTTTTATATTCTCCCCCTTTGTTATTCTTTATAATTAATATTAGTAGCAGTAGTAGTTTTGTATTATACTTTAGTTATTGGACTGTTCTTACCTCAACCCATAAGATTTACATTCTTTTGATTCTCCTCCCCATCCTGCCTGGAGGGGAAGGAGGGTGTGTGATGGAACGTGTGCATGATTCTGAGTTACTGGCTGGGCTTAAACCACTAAAAAATGAGTAGCATGCTTTTATTTTCTTTTATTAAAAAAAAAATGTGACTTTTTTACTTTAATTCGAGATTCAGCCATGAGATTTCAATGAAATTTATTGCTCTTGAAAATGACACAAAATTAGTATGGTTTAAAACAAATCAAG